GCATGGGCCGTCTACCATTATGGGGCCATCGACATCGATGCCTACTATACTTAGCCAAATAAATGGCCATGAGACAAATTAAAACCACCCAACAACAAGCGTAGTCATGCGATGGACGAAAACCACCCAACAGCAAACGTGAGTATAACCAACCGCAAGACAAGTGGGGATTGACGCTATAGAACGTAGGGGAGTGGAAAGGCATACATAAGACACGTGGCACAATTAATCATGGAACATGGGTGTGCCATCATATGCCTATAAATACCCCAATGTGGGAAAAGGTATGGGACTTCTTGAAATCGGAAATGCTTGAACTCTCAATATACTTTCTTCCTACTTTCCTTAAATACCTACTGATTCTCACACCGAAGGTACAACGGGGGAGAAAACCCCAATCTCATTTTGCAGGTAACGCTCATTGATCGGAACAACCGGAACACCCCACATGTCATCATTTTCGTGGAGGTAAATTTTGTGATTATTTCACATAATAATGCATCTTACTTGGTTTGGAAACCTAGATGAAAATGGAATAAATCGATGAATCTAGGGGGATCTCCATGTGGTTGTTACATTAGATTAAATGAGGTGTGCTCGTGCTAAAGATTAAAGAGGTACGCGAAACAAAATGTGTTACTTGTTTTATCTATTTTATATAATGGAATGGGTCGAGCATTTTTTATTTTACCTATTTCATGAAGGAAGACAATAGGATCCACCAATTTTAATGAACTTTATGGCATAGGCATTTTGACAAGACTATTTACAAACATATATGTGCAATTAACGTGTGTTTCTTATTAGTCATATCATTGATGTGCCAAAAGCAACCATTTCTATGTAGACACTGGAGGCCACTTATATAACAAGAGGAGCCTAGAGTAAACATGTTCCCATCTCAAATTTTGTAGTTCAATTGGCTTGAGTTACTCAAATTTTATTCGGGTTTAGTTGTTTAAATCTCGTAAAACTTCATTTGAGGACAAAATATACATTTTTATAGTTGAAGAATTATCGAGCTTGAGTTTGACTCGACTAGTTCGGTTAATAAGTACTAAATATAGGCAAGATAACATCAAGTTAATGTAATTTAGTTGAACTGACTTCAAACTTGGCTCATCGGAAAAGTCGTGAAATATTAAGGAAAAACTAGGGTGGAGCTTCCCAACATTTCATGTGGTGTAGCTATGAATTCTCTACATTTAAAAGGGAGGTTTTGCATTTTCGAATTATCTAGGGTCCTACGTGACGAAAGCCGCTAATATAGAGATTAAATCACTAACGACTTTCAAGTGACATGAAGCAACAAAAACATAATTCTAAGCATTTTGATGTTTTTGCTTTCCAACTCTAAATCATTCGAAAGTCGTTAGGAATGGGAATAGGGCGGCAACCTTGAGATTTTGGGGGCCCCTTAGGCCAAACTATATAGGAATATGCTATTTGTACATAATGTCGTGTCCATGACGGTGTTCACCCTCTCACATGGAGGGGGACCCACTTTGAATATATTATATTTTATTCGAAGTGGGTCCCCGTCCATGTGAGGGGGTGGACACCGCTATGGGCACCCCATTATGTACATGTAGCATCGCTCAACTTTATACGGGGCATTTGGATAGTTAATAATTAAATTGTATTGATTACAATACTAAGCAAAAAGATTCAAAGTTAACATAATAATCATTTCAATTTTTCAAGAGTTCGTTCAAATTTAGTTTTGAAGGAAGGGAAGGTCCACCGTCAATTTTGACAAGAGGTAGGCGTGAATTATTATAAACGAAAATGGAGCAGTGTGTTATGGACTGTTGACTTCTAATTGTTGAAAGAGTATACCTTCAATAATTACATAAGTTACATTGATAAATGATTGGGTCTTTTCTAAGAGTAATATTATTTGTAAATTATTGCGCACAGATCGACGTACATATTGATAATGTTAATTATATTAATTGACTTCCTTTTATTTCTTTTTATTTTCCTCTCTCTCTCTCATCATCGTCAATGTGCACAATGATTTACAAGTATCATTACTCATTTTTTAAAGACAACAAAATGAAGGGGCCCTAGACAGTAGCCAATACTACTTGAGCCCAAGGCCAGCGTTGATTTCCCGCTCTATCCCCACTTATAAAGGGACACATTTAGGGGGAGGATTGGGACTGGGACTGG